GCCAGTGAGCCCACCTACACTTTTTAATTTTCATTAACCCTGGCGAGCCCTCATAACTCTATTAGAAAGTTCTAGTTTCTACATGGTTCCTGCATGGCTAGGATAATCAGAATAAACTTTGATGCATTTGGGTTTCAGTGCCGGCAGCTTTATGTTTCTTCAGAGGATTTTCAGCCTTTTGAAAGATTATTCTGCTTCAACATACTGTACAGAGTGGTTGAGTTATTTGTTGGTACATAAACAGTCAAAGCTATCTATATCTAATTCATCTAAAAGTACATCGGTATTGAATTGAAATTGTGTTAAGTTGAGTTAAAGCATCAAGCCTGCCTGTCCACAGGAAGCATCCCATCCCTGCATCCTTGACCTCAGAGCAAAGGTCACTGTTAATACATCTGGATCATTCACAACTCATTTTCCATTTTTACTCACTTTCTTTCAACCTCTTCCCCCCTAGCTTATGCTCATTTCCCTTCCTTCTACCAACATTATCATTATCAGCTCTGATCACAGAAACAGAAACAACTTCAAACTGGTAAAAAAAATGAATAAATCCATGTTGTGGCAGTGAATAGTCACGGCAGCACCGTCTGTTCAACATCCCTGATCCCTACAGTCCAACAGCAGCAAGAACAACAGCAGGAATAAAAAAGACTGCAAACACACTCACCAAGTTGTAACCACAAGACTGGAGTTTCCACCGGGACAAAGGGCCGAGGGTGCGAAGGGGTTCCTTAAATATGTCCCGGCGTCCTGCCACTGAGGGGCCGGGGGGCGGGACCAGGAGTTCACACAAGCCCAAATTAAGTGTTGCTCAGCAAAAAGGTTCAGTAAAGTGGATCCTGTGTCAGGGACGCCATCATACTGGAGACATGTTGCCTAGGAGACAAAAAGGCAGAAGACAGAAGGGAGGAAAAGAAGGAATGTGCACGAAAACTTTTACTGGACGGATGGCTTTTTAAAAGCTGGGATGTTTTCAAGGTTGATATGAATTCCAGTGTGTTTAGAGTAGACGCTCTCTATCCGCCCTCAAATCCAAATATGGACATTTTTGAAAATGATGTATGGTTTGAACAGTAGTCTGCTGTATATAACCATATTTTAGGTGTCAAATAGTGAGGATTCCTTTAGAATTAAGCAATGTACACCCTTGAAATCAACTTATGCCCTTTGAATTTTATTTAAAAGATATCAGGACACTCAGAAAAACCCCTTAATAAGTTCATATTTCTTTCTCTCATTCATACTTTATGGAGCTTCCCTACAGGTCTCTGGGGATGTGTTAATATGACTAAGCTAAAGCAGTAAGGGGTGATGGGAGGGTGAGATGGAAATCTGAGATCTTGTCGGAGCAGTCTGGTTAAGGAGCCCTCGAAGGGGACTCTGCCAGTGACAGTTTGCCAGTGTCGTGGCATGTGTGAGGAAGAAGGGGGGCCGTGCCAGACAGCTGAGAGGCAATATTGTAAGAGGGTGAGAGGGGGTGAGGCATATCCCAGACCTCCAGCAGACGACAGATCCCTGGGACGGCCTGTGCGAGCGCTGGTTCTGAGCTCTGATTGGCTCCAGTGTCTCCTTTTAGGGAAATGGAGTGTAACAGGTGCCAGAGGCTGCAGACTGCCGCCAGAGCTCAGGCTCCTTATTCGTCACCTCGCACTCTGCCTGAGTCCCCATTATGGAAACACTATCCATCCACTGTGTGTGCATTAAGAATGTAAATACACCATCAACACACGAAAGTATTCAATTTGTAACCGTGTGCTGTCATGTCCCTCAAAGGGAGACGCGATTAACGCTAACCTACATATTTATATTCAGAGCTTTTACATACCAGAGAGTTACTTCCCATTGTGTTACCAACTGATAGTTGCTGAAAACTCACAAGAAGAGAAGAATAACTATGGCTGTCTTTGGCTGATTAGTGCATCATTAAGCAATGCTTTAATGTTGATGTTTGTTGTTGTGGAGATAATTAGAACTGCCTTCTGTCTATTGCAATTCATCATTTCTTATATAGTGATCATATGTTTTGTTTTCTTCATCAAAAGGAACCTGTAACTTCATACATTCAATGAATTAGTGAAGTATAATCCTCAACATCTCCCTTTAACATTTGGTGGAGTGGAAGTATAAAGTATATGAAATCAATTAATCAATTAATCAAGACAAGTAACAGTGTATAGGTACAGCACTTTATTCCTACAGGTCACAAATCCCATATCATGAGTAGTAATCACATCACAAGGCAATTTCTCTCATTCCCTGATGAACAACAATGAAACTAAGGCAGTCTCATTATGATTCTAAATGTGTAGACAACATGTACATCAACCAATATAAACATGATTCGATAAGTGTTTGCGCCGTAAAGAGTAAAACTAGAGCAAATTGCTGAGTGAAAAAGAGTCAGAGACATCACTTTAGTTTTCGGGATAAAACCAGTGCTGTGTTTTGTCAACAGCTCCCAGTAAGTCGAGGAAGCTCTTTTTGGCAGAGTCCTATCTCTATCACCAGGGTTTTATCAGGATAAAGCAGATATGTCTTAAATGGGTCATGGTTTTGAGGGACATTCGTCCTTATAAGGGCATCGAGGAAGCACACGGTTTGTCTGTCCTGACAGCTGCCCCCTCTGCACCTCACCCCCCCTCACCTCCT